GGGGGGAAGGGGAGGAAAGCTGTAGATGCCAACTGCGGGGGGGGAGGCGGCGGGCCGGGGTGGGGACGCGGGGCTGGCTGCAGGCTCCAGCCAAGTTTGCTAATATTTCTTCGCTGCAGATGTCCTGAAGCCCCCGAAGGGTCCCCTGGGGACCCGGACCCTATTAGAACAAATGTGCACTGCTTTTGTAAAGAGGCGCGTTGGCGGCGCCTGTCCTATTACAGGCGACACATGATCAATAGGCTGATAACGCAGCAACATCAATATAAGCGACAGAACAATGAGGGATATCATTGGGCATCTATCTTAATATAGCCGGCTACAAGAGCGCTGACAAAGAGTGCAGCTCATGAAAATTCCGCCCCACGATTCCCCATCTCCGCTCCAATATGCGCACGCACTCCCCCAGCTGCCGGCGCTATTATTCTCCAATTTCAATTTGACACCCCAGCCTTTCATGCTAATTCTATTATTGTAGGAAGTTTATGTGATTTCATATCACTAGAAATCGGTAATGTATAATAACCCTTTGGGCAAGAAACCCAGTCCCCGCAGCAGCCACCGGAAAATAATTACTTTCATATCAAAACTCTGCAGGAGCCCAGCGGCCCGGCCCTCGCAGCCCCCGGCTCCGTCACCCCGCGCCGCGGCGTGTGCCAGTGCGCGGGGGCGCGCGGGGGGATGTGCGTGTGTGCGCGCGCGTGGCGCAGGGTAGGAGGGGGCGCGGGGGAGGGCAGGAAAGGGGGAGCTGCGGATGCATAAATTTGTTCAATCAGAAAACACACACACACACACACACACACACACACAAAAGGAGGCACGAAGCGCGGACCTCGGGGGGAGGGGAGGAGCCCCCTCCCGGCCCCACCCGCGGAGAGAGGAGGGGAAATCCAGGGGAGCAGCGGCCGGGCTGGGCACTCGGAGATTTTAAAAAGATGGACCCGAGAGCTTGCGTTTGACCAGCTTTATTTATCAAAAATGGTACATATATAAATATTCTTAGACATTTTTGCATTTTACAAGGCTGAGGATTCTCGTTGTGGGTTTTTGCGGGGGGTATGGGTTCCTTTTGCTCCCTCGGGAGGAGGAGGGTCTCACCCCAAGTCCTGCAGTTGCTTCCTAGGTCCGAATTGATACAGCGTGTTTGTTTACTTTAAAAAAATAAAAGGAAGAAAACAAAAGAAAAGAGGGGAAAGCAGTGTTTCTAGAGCCGATCACCTGATTCGTCGCGTGAGTCGGAGCCTGAGCAAGCTGGCGCGGGCCGGCTGAGCACCTCTCCCGGCCGCCGCCGCCCTCAGTCCATGTCCACTTCCTCGCCATCCGGCGGGCTGGGTCCGGCCGCTGCGCCCGGTTCGGGGTCCCCGCATGTGGCCGGCTCCGCAGCGGGGCTGGGAGCCCGCGGGCCGGACCCAGGCGACGGCGCAATTGGCGGGGGCGGCGGGGCC